ATGGATCTTCCTCACTAGACCATAATTTCCTGAGTGCAGGGACTGAGTCAGTTTTGTTCACTGCTATAACTCCAGCTCCTAGCCCCGTGCTTGGCACATAGCAGCTCAAAACTTCTTGTCAAATAAGTAAATAACAAGGCGCCCCCCTCCCCAAAAAATCAGCTTCAGCAACTCTACTTATATGGAGTGGGCAAAAGTAGGTTTATAGTTGTGAGTACGCAAAACACAGAATTTATTCTTGTATTATTATTATTGATTGATTTTTAGAGAGGAAGAGAGCAAGAAACATCAATGTGAGAGTGAAATACTGATTGCTGTTTCCTGCATGTGCCATACTGGGGACTGAACCCACACCGGGGCATGTACCCTGACTAGGAATTAAACAGGCAACCTCTCTGTGCACGGGACAACGCCCAACCAACTGAGCCATACTGGCCAGCGCTATTCTTGTATTGATATTTATTGATTATTGTATTATTTTCCATACGAACAACTGTCAACCTACTTTAACCCACCCTTGTAACTTACCCTACAGATACAGTCACACACGCAAAAGGCCAAATATATATGATTATTCACTGGAGCACAGTTTGTCATAGCAGATGACTGGAAACATTTAAAATGTCTACCAGTGCCAAGGCCCATATAACTCAGCTGGTTGGAGCATCATCCCGTGCAGCAAAGAGTCCTCGGTTCAGTTCCCAGCCAAGGCACATACTCAGTTTGTGGGTTCACAGTTAGAGGGATTATTGGGAGAAAAAAGGGATTATGGAATTCAGCGTTCCTATAAGCATAGAAAGTAGGTTGATGAATTTGTACTAAAGACATATTATAAACACTGACTAAAAATAAATTATTTCCACTGAGGGGCCTCAAAATCTAAATGGAGCTTAACTTGAATCCACAAATTCAAAAAACTAAAAAAAATTTTTAAATCAATGATAAGAATGGGGAGGAAAGCTACACACATTCCTTAAAATACAGATTTGCCCATTTGTGGAATATAATGAACAACATAAACTGATGAACAAAAATAGAACCAGAGACATAGACGCATCAAACAGATTGTCCAATCTATGAGGGAAGGTGGGAGGTGAGGGGGTAAGAGATCAACCAAAGGACTTGTATGCATGCATATGAGCATAACCAGTGGACAGAGACAGTAGGGGGGTGAGGGCATGTGCTGAGGGGTCTCCAATGTTACCAGAACCTCTGTCATATAGGACAAGAAATAATCATCACAATCCACCCCAAGACCTGTCAGAGGCAGTTATCTTCAACTAACTATCCCCTGAAAAACAAAAGGGCATTTACTAAGTAGAAAATACTGAAAAGAGCATTTACTAAGTAGAACAAAGTATTTAGTATAGCCATTCTAAATTGTTATAACTTTGCCAAGCCTAAGTGGCAAGTTAGAAGCCAATTCCTGGCTCTATTTGATAACCTGCCTCCACAGGCTCTTTCCACATGTTAAGTCAAAATCTAAGACTGACACAGACATTAGCAAATACATCACCTTTTTTTCCTACTAACATTGTTTTTCTCCATACAGTTCGATGCAGTGTTTTAAATACCCTTCTGTAATACACCAAGCAGTGCCTGTGGCTCCCCCAATTCAAAGGCTTGGGAGTGAGTGTGGAAGAAAAAAATATGTCGGAAATCTCTTTTTCTCTCTCTTCCTCAGTACCCTGGTCTTTCAAAGCTAGACAGAAGCAATGATTCTGCATTTAATCACCAGATGAATAAGAAACAGATTTGAATTTAGGAAAAACATAAAGGAATACAAACACATTCAGTGAAGAGTACTGCCTCTATTTCCTTGCAGAGCAGTTCTCAGGATCTGCCAATGAACCTCATTTTGACAGGGAACACGCCATCTACTCTAATCCGGGGCACATCCCTCTAGAGACAGTCAGCTGGAACTCTGCCAACTTCTGCTGGGAGTTGTGTGAAGAACAGTAGCAACAAGAGCCTACTTTGAGAAGGAGATCAACAATCACACTCAAGAAGAAAAGAAGTTATTTGGCAAAGGGAAGTATGTTGCCAAAATGTTAGTCACAGCTTCAAGATGCCGGTTTGTGTTTCTGCAACTATTCTTTGCTTTGACATAATCCATTCTCTGGCCCAGGAAACCCGCTCAGCTTCTGTCACCCACCCCATTTGAAGAATCAAGAATCCTTTCAATTTGGTGGTATCAAACTGTGACACAGACAAGAAGTCCACCAGAGACTAAAAAGCAGGGGAAAAATATGTAATTTGCCATTTCCACTTAGGACTGGCTCAAGTAGAGCAATGGAAAAACATAACAGGACAGGAAAAAATGGGAAATCATTATGTTAAACAAGCAGGCTATATTAAAAGCCTTCCACCCCAGCCAGTTTGGCTAAGTGGATAGAGCGTCGGCCTGTGGCCTGAAGGGTCCCGGGTTCGATTCCCGTCAAGGACACATGCCAGGGTTGAGGGCTTGATCCCCGGTGAGGGGCATTCCAGAGGCAGCCGATCAGTGATTCTCTCTCATCATTGATGTTTCTATCTCAATCTTCCTCTCCCTTCCTCTCTGAAATCAATAAAAAAAATATATTTTTTAAAAAGCCTTCCCAAAGCTCTGAGCCTCTATAACTTATTTCAAAACCTTCCTAAAAACAAACCAAAAGACACACTGTAGGTTGAAAAGACAGCAAAACATTAAGTAGGTTTTTACTCTCAAATAAGTGTACATATTTCATAGCATGCAGCTCTTCCTGGAGTTAGTATGAAGACTATGGTTTGCTGAAACAGCCTGAACCAGCAAGTCACAAATTTCAGAATTACTTCAAGAGCAATAGGAAAAAAGGCTCAAGTACACCTGGTGACTATCAAAGAGCTCAAGAGGTCAAGAAAGAACACCTAACAATTTTCTCTTCAATAGGAACAGGATTCCTCTCTTCCCTTCTTAAAAGTAAAATCTGAAAATTCCACTGTTCTCAACACCTTCCCCCTTCCCCGGCATTTCCCCTTTGTGCTGACATAACATAACTAATCAGTATTAGCTAAGTAAACACTGCTCTGATATCAGGTGTAAGGGAGAATTGGGAACTGCCACCCTTAAGCAAATCCACGTCAGACTTCAGAAATGCCAAGACTTTCAGGAACACTTCTACACTAAACAAGTATGTAGGGTATTATGCCCAAAGGAAAAGCTAAAACAGTCAAGATTTCAAAGGATTAACAGTAAAGTTAAAATTGTCCACAAGCACGCTGATCTCCACCAACTGGCAACAGGGCCAAAGTGAATGGACCAAAACAAAAGGCTCAACTGTCTAAAATATTACACTTCAGTGAATTTTCAAAGATATCATGAGGAAAATCAGTGTTTGTCAAGACCAAAGGAATTGAGAAATGGGGAAAAAGTTTTTTTAAAGAGTAAACTATTCTGGGTGGCTAGACTGCATTCTCCCCTATTCTCCATCAACAGACCTCATTCACCCCAACTCTAACTTCCCTAGCTCTATCTTGATGGCAGCCAATACAATGTAATACAATAATATGAAATTCATGGCTACTAAAAGTTGAGGAGAAAAGTTAAAAAAAAAGGGGGAGATGAGGGGGGCATGTATCAAATCACCAACTCTTCCCTAGCATAGAAATGCAGGAGGGCTGGGAGGAAGAAACCCAGAAAGACGTGTCTTCTAAATAGCAGCATCTCAACCTTGTTTTCAGAGATCACTTCTTTAGAACCACTTAAGGGTCCCACTTGGGAGCCCGGACCTGGTAGCTCAGTTGGTCAGAGCGTCATACACCTATGCCAAGGTTGTGGGTTCAAGCCCTGGTCAGGGCACATACAAGCATAGCAACCACTGAATGCATAAATAAGTGGAATTGGTGTTTTCCTCTCTCTCCTTGCTCTCTTTCTAAAATCAGTAAGTAAAATTTTAAAAAATAAAGATCTCATTTGGCTAACACAATCTTTTAGGAGCCGTGAGGGACCAAACCTATATTTCAAGGGGGGCGGAGGGGGGGCAATGAGACAGTTTAACAATTTGCCTCAAAGTTACTGAGTAAACCCATAGGTGTGCTAGAACAGTCCTTATTCCCTGCGGGTTCATTTGCGGTTTGTAAAAGGAGGGGGAAGAAAAACAAAAACAAAAACAAAAAAAAACCAACAACACACCACCAAAAGCACTCAGTAGGTCATTCACAAACAGAAACTGTAAGGCAAAAAACAACAGCGTGACAAAGGAGGTGGATCTTGGGAGAGCCCAAAGCAGCCACAGATTATTCCAATCCCTTTAAAATTCCGAACTGCAGTCCACACCAGTCCTTCCAGTTCGTCACCGCTGTGTTATCTTTTAAGAACGTTCCTTCCTGATCAGAACTCCACCACACACACTGCCCAGGTTTCACACTTGAAGGTTTCTTCTACCTTCCCTCCTGGCAGCCCGCTCCGAGCTGCACACTCCCCTCCAGGTGCGGCCGGGGCATCGCCACACTTCCCCTTCCAGCCTCGACTCCACGGGGATTCCCACCAAACGAACGCCCTCCACGTTCCCTCTAGCGTCCAGTTCCCCGCGTCCACCGCTCCACCATCAGTTTTCACTCAACTCACCCCCAAAATGTCCTATTGACCTCCCGACATCCGAGCATCCTGTTAACTACCGGTTCCCAACAGGTCTTCCTTCCCCGCCTCCCTCACTTGGCGCACGGTTACCTGGTTCCTCGCCCCGAGCTCAGGATCCCCCCCAAGTCCAGCCTCTCAATAACCGCCCTCCCCATTTTCGCGGTCAGCGCCCGCCCCACAATCCCCGACCACTCCCCCCGCGAGGATTCCCACGCCCCCGCTCCTG